CCAGGAAGGCCCGTCCGGAGGGAACCCGCGATGCCGACAAGCTCCAGGCGGGCGAAGGAGGGCAGCCAGGCTGCATCCCCCCCCTTTATGCCCCCCTTCATTTGCAGCCCCTTGAACTCTCCCTCGAATGAGGCCGATGGCAGACAAGCCGGACTAAGGGCTGCTTCGTGCCCCCAAAGCAGGTTCATGAACTGCAGGGGCTGAGTTCACACGACTCCCAAGGCACAAGCAGAGGGTCCCCTTCTGGCAAAGGAAACAGCTCCAGCCCGGGGATTTTAGCCCACCCTCATTTCAGCCACACAAAGTGGTCCTGGGACCCCCACAGCCACCACCACCCTTCTGCCACCAGAGGCTGAATCCCGCCACCCCCAGATCCCCAGGCCTTTCACCTCCCAGAGATCAGGAAGAAACCCCCTTTGGCCCACAGAGCTGCCCAGATCGGTCCTCCCCCCGGCTTTTTCCAGGAAGGACCCAGTGCCCCTGCTGAGCCCCAGCCTGGAACCCCCCCGACAGGGTCCTAAGGAAGCTTCAGAGGGCATCCAGTCCACTCCCTCCAGGCCCACAGAGAAAGGAGAGCCCGGCTGAGAGTTCTGGGAGGGCAAAGGAAGGGGAGGGTCCCCTCTGAGCTGGCAGGAGAACCCTGGAGCTGCAGCCCCCCAAGACTGAGAGGATTCCCCCTCCCAGTTTCTCTGCTGCTTTCTCTGCTCCGAACTATCTCCTCCATGGGGCGAAATCCAGAGAGCCTCTGCCCGGAGACTGATGACACTGCAGAAGGGAGAATTCCCATTGGTCCTTCTGCTCTTCTGTGCTCTCCCAACTCCAAATTCTGAGAAAACCGCTTCCTGCCCCCAATCCAGACCCACCGATTCTGCCTCTGGGGCTGGAAGCATCTGCCTCTGTCTCCTCTCTCTTGGGGGTTGCTGTGGGGCAGGATCTATGGGCTTTCCTGCGGTCCCCCTGCTGCTGCTGCTGGTGGGGGCTCTGCCCCGGATCCCTGGAAGCGAAGGGGGGCAGGAGCCCCCCGGTAAGGAGGGGGGTGGACGGGGGGAGGAGGGCTGGGAGGGACCCCCGATGCTTGTTGCGGAGGGGGAAAGA